TTGGAAATAAAGACTGTAACAAAATCGAGGAATGTGTTTTATTGGTGATTCATAATAGCGTAGTAGTTACGAACAAAGAAGGATAATACAATAGCACTGATTAAGAGGGTGTATGATGAGTAATAGATAAGAGCGCAATTACGGTGCTCAAGGAACAATAGCTAATGAGGGTGCAGGCCCACCGGATATCAATTACATATTAGTTAATCGATCTGCACATCTCCAGAACCGCACATCCTACGCAAAAAAGGATCGCAGATTCGTGATCAGAGCATACCAAAACCTTTTTTTTTAGGATCCTTACACCCTCCATTAGCCGGCGAGGGCTGAAGAGTTAGCCAGAACTGGTACAAACTAACTACTGAGGAAGTGTAGAAATTGCAACATCTGTGTATAAATTAATCAGTCTGATACAACTCACGTAAAAATTATGTCGAACAATTGTGTGTGAAAACAAGAAAAAACAATTTTAGTTGTATGCTTTTTTGACCTCCTTGATTATAAATCAGGACAGAACAAAAACCAAACAAAACAGGTTTGTACACCAAATGGAAGGGTTTTTTTTTTTTTTTTTTATTTATTAAAGCATCACCAACATTTGTATACATTGTTAAATTATAATTTACATACATACATAGATAGGGTATTACTTTAAATGCTACAAACTATTATAGGTGATTACAACATGCACTGGAATAAACATCAAGAATATTACATAGTTACAGAAAACTAAAACGTTAAAAAAAATACAAAAACTTAATCTATTACATTTGCATAATGTTTGAGTAGTTCTTTTCTGAGCTTGTTAGGTGAGTCGGAATTAATATCAAAAGCGTGGGGAAGTTCATTGACCAATTTACTTAACCTAGAGATCGGGGAATTAGCGCCAAATACTGTTTTACGAAGAGGTGATCTAATAGTAATTACTCTCTTACGGGGGTATCTATGAGGTACGCGAAATTTTATCTTATTCAACAATTGAGGGCAGTTAATTTTATTATTCAATAATTTGCTTACGAAGAGTAAGTCGGATATTTGTCTGCGATTAGCCAAGGACGTAATTTTGAAAAAAAGATAGCTGTTTTTTATACGAAGAAAGTTTCTTTTTTGAAATTCGATTTGAGTATACTAAATGCCACATGAATCTTTTTTTGTATTCGTTCTAAGCGTAAAGAATGCGTTGCATAATGTGGTCTCCAAACTACAGAACAGTATTCTAAGATACTTCGTACTAAATTGTTGTAGAGCGTTATTTTGATGTTATTGCTGCGGAAAAATTTAATATTTCTGTAAAGAAATCCTAACATTTTGGTGGCACGTTTTGTAATATATTCCATATGAGGCACGAATGTGAGTTTGCTGTCGAATATGACGCCTAAATCCTTGGTCTCTTGTAGTTCCTGTAAATTATTATTGCCTATATGATAACTGTAGTGAACTAGATTCATTTTCCGAGCAAATTTTACGTAGAAACATTTTTTTTGCATTGAGTTCCATTTTATTCAAATTACACCAGTTAAAGATATTGTCAAGATCGCACTGGAGTTTACGTGCATCATCTGTCGTTTCAATTATTCTGCAAAATTTTAAGTCATCAGCATACATGTAAGATTCAGAAAATTTTAGGCACAAAGGCAGGTCATTAATATAAACATTAAACAGAAGTGGGCCCAGGTGAGATCCCTGTTGTACGCCAGATGTGATTTTACGCAAACTCGACTTAAAGCCATTGATGACCACATAAAAAGTACGGTCGGTTAGATAAGACCAGATCCATTGCATTAAACCATTACAGATTCCATATGCGGACAGTTTTTTTTAGGAGTACACTATGTGAAATGCGATCAAAAGCCTTACTAAAATCCGTGTATATGACGTCAACTTGTTTATTGGCATCAAGTGCTTCATAAAGAGTTTCAGTGAAGCTTACCAGATTAGAGTTTGTTGATCTACATTGAACAAACCCGTGTTGCTTATAACTGTGTTGCTTATAATGTGGGTTCGAATTAAAAGTATGGCCAGATCTAATCCCTACCCTTTTAATGTCTTTCTTCAGTTTACAACAGAAACAAAAAAAAACAAGAAAATCCAGCAAACCCTTCCTGAAGTTCTAAAGTTTTATGATACAGTATGTGTTCAATATCGACATGAGAACCCAAAACCAATTTTTATAAAATCTGATTACAATAGTAAAGAGTTCACTGAATTAAAACTGAAGGCTTTGCCTGGGAATTGTAACTATATAATACCTAAACCTTTTTACAGTGCTGATTGCTTATTTCAAATGCTAAAAAGACAGATTTAGTAAAATTGTGAGTCAAATGAATATTAGAAAAACCTTCCACTAACTGAAATAATGGTGGATCGTGTACCATAACCTGACAATGAAGAAGATTGGTTATTTAGGATTCAACTGTCTTGATCTTTTGGTAAATACCTTGCCAAGCACCTTGATAATTTTCTTACCAACTCGCAGCACGGATTCAGAAGTGGATTGTCAGTTCAAACTAATTTGTGTAAATGTACTTCCGATCTTTTAAAAGAGGTAGACAGGGGCCAAGAAATTGACGCCATATATACAGACTTTAGCAGTGCATTCGACAAGGCTGACCACAAGCAACTCATTAACAAACTTTCTCTCTATGGTATTGGTCCTCCCCTGATTGGATGGTTTAGATCTTACTTGGAGAAGAGATCTCAAATTGTTGTTGTCAATGGTTTTGAATCCAAAAAGTATCAAGCTATATCCGGGGTGCCTCAAGGTTCGCATCTGGGCCCTTTATTATTTTTGGATTTTATTAACGACATCACCAATGTAATCAAAAATTGTCGTTGCTCGTTATTTGCTGATGATTTAAAAATTAATAAACCAATAAAATCAGTGTAGAATATAAAACTCATACAGGAAGATCTGAATAGAATGTCCCATTGGTGTGACGTCAATAGTATGACTCTTAATGCTGACAAATGATTCCATGTCAAATACACCAGGAAAATAAAACCGCTTGTCTCTAGTTACTCAATTGGTAATGTAGTTTTGCAAGAGATACCGGAGTCGTGAATGTCATATATGTGTATTGTAAGTGTACTTGTTAAATAAAAAAAAATAAAAATGCAAATAATTATTGCGCACCCGCAAATAGTTATCGAATAATTGCGAATATGAAACTTACGTAAACTTACTTTGGACCAAAATATTTTTTTTGTGCACTATATATGACGTTATTCTATAGATCTTAATGTTATGATTGATATGATTCAAGACTAAAAAGCTTATTTAATCTAATACCAGCCACAGGGAAATTTGCAATTTTCAAAAATAAATAAAATTGTTTTTTTTTTTGTATTGTAAAATCTGTGGTCGTACACATTCGCAATTTTACCATAAATAAATTGTGAAAATATACTTTCTTTTCATTACGTAGGCATTAACTAAGATATGATTTTGAAAAATTCAAACCCTCTAAGCGTGAAACATGGTGTTACAGTTTGTACGATAATTTTTATTTTACTGGTCAATTTCATATTTTTATAGTGCAAAATTATCAAATAATTATGTAATTTGAAAATTGGTAACATTACTTTTGGAATAAAATATTAAAATAAGTTTATTTAATTTTTCGAAAATCTAACCATAAAGTGTTAATATGGACACAGAATAAATAATAGTACTACGATATGTGGTGTAACATTTACGAGGGAAAAATAGCTTTCTCACTCGATAGTGAGGACACACTTGAAAGAAAATTATGGTAGGACAAAAAGGAGAGTGGGATTTTGGGCTTGAAGTTAACAAATTGGCTTATACTTCAAATAAATCTAACTTAAATTTCGCAATCGTTATCATTCCGAAATATGAGAAAGTTACCATACGATAGCTTGAGCTTTCCATATATGCGATCTTGTTATAAGTGTAAGTAATGACTCTCTGGACGCTAAAGTGTGGACGCGGTCACACCGCGGGACGAAAAGCTGGTGTATCTATAAAACCTTAATATGAGATAATGCAGTAGGTAACTTTTGCAGTAAACCTTTCTCATTTATTTTATAGAGATATACGTGTTACACACGTAGACATTTTGTTCCACGTTTTAAGCATATAGGCAGGAACTCGGAACGCTTTCGTTTATATTTCTTCATGGCTTCAATCTCTACGTGCGCAATAGACTCCCTTCTTCCGAGTCTGTTACGTGGGGCTATTGTCAGGTCAGGGAAAACATGCAACTGGAAACACCAGGTTCCTGGTACCAACTTTGGATTTAGTCTGTGGTTAAACCGTCGTCTACAGACGGCGCTTCTTAATACCGACAATGCTCTTCTCCCGCGACCCCACCACGGCTGCTGAGAGAAGAGGCACAAAAAAACCCTTCCGTCGCAGTCCACCTACATGAAATTGAGCAGGCTCGCCAAACCTACACCAAGCGGTTATATTCGAAGCAGCTATGTGGGATCCTATTTGCACATGGTGGGGAAAAAACCACAGCTACGAAGCCTCCGGCACAACAAAGCGGGAATCCGTTTAGAGGGGAAGAACCTAACTTTGCTGAGTGGCTATCAAAGCTAGCACTTAGCATTTAGCACTATTTTATTGAAAGCCATGAGATCTTTCTAACATTACACATAGCTGTCTCTTACGACACACACGAGACGATATGGTGACAATATGGCTTTCCAAGCCACGAATCACAAGTGTCAATGAAGCTATAAAAGTCAACTGGCTAACAACGTTACCTCTTACGCCACCACTCAAATTATACTTACAAAATTGTAATTTCAAAAAAGCCATACTGAGACTACACTGTCGATGAGTACCGCCGAAGATACAAGAATTCTTTAGACAAGATTTAAAATATTATTCATCCATAATAATAATTATATTAATTTTGCTAATAAGAGACAAATATTTAAATATAAATACTATAATTCTAAAAAAACATCTACTACTCATCTAATACATTGATTGTCTGATCGATTTTCAAAAAATATTTACAAATTTAAATTTATATTACCAGTAACACCGGGGTATTTTTGTAAAAGCATTTAACCGTTTGATGTATGGTATCAACGTTAGTCTTGCCTTTAGTCTTGTTGCAGCTTTCAAGAACCTTCTGCACGTCGTCTTTACGATCACTTTCCCCGAAGAGAGTTAGTAGACCGTCGTTTAAATGGCCATCTTCGTCGCCATAGTTCGTTTTGCGACAGAGGCAGTACAAAAACTTCTTACTCGGTAAATCGGAACTGAAATTAAGGTTAAAGAAATTATCGGCAACCTCCTTGTTGGCTCCAGTTTCTTTAATACACTCCGATGCTGCTTTTTTTACTTCATTAAGGACGATAGTGGGCAGGGGCACAACAGGTCTCTGAAAATAAAAATTAGAAAATTTAATGATGGATAGTATTTTAAAATACAAAAAGAAAAGAAAAAAAACGTCAGTTTCCATTATTTAAAATAAAATAAACATTTTTAATTCTTTTGCTATTATTAAGATGATGCTGCTGTTTATCCGGTTTCCCTCGACTAATCTTACGACACATATATAGAGGACTATACGCAGTAGTTTATGTTTTTACACCGTCACTACACGGTTTGTTATAATTTCACTACATATGCAATTATCTGTAATTTTTATTATGTATTCATTATATAATTATGTATGTTAATTAATTATGTTATGCATACTTTTTTTGGTAAGGAGCTATAATTTGAAGCATATTTGATATTCTCCTTGCCAATTTCGATCAGATCAATAATTTCCGATATATTATCAGAAATTCGGTAAAATAATAAGATTGCATGTTTGTGTTAAAATAAAGGCACAACATTCTTACTAACGCACCCTTTAAAGTAAAATATTAAAATTAATCAGGCCAGAAAAATTAATCACAACCAGACCCGACCAGAAAAAATTAAGTTTTGAACAAATTTAGGCTCCAGGTTGACTAAAAGCGATCCTGATCCTGTGTTCCAGTAACCACTTGCAAATCTTGCGAGTAATTAATGCAATTAGCGTTGGCCAGGTCAACAGGGACAGGAGACGAAAAGGCTGTTATAATATAGATATTTAACTCAAGAAACACAAATTATACAATGATACCAATAATAAATAGGCACTATAAAAACTTACCCCATCGATTTCTGCATACGCTGCCATTATTGTAGACAGTAAAACCAAAAAATAAAACATGGCGACTACCGATACGCTACTTTACGTTAGGTACTAGAGATCCGAATTGTTTCTGCTGAATGATAAGAATTCAAAGAAACGGACACTATTTATATTCCAAAGCCTTTATAACTTACAAGGTCTTATCCTCGAACACTTCCATTAATTTGACAAAGACTGATTTGAAACATCAAACCGAAATAATTATTATTTTCTTCTTATAGTGTATGACCTATTAACATAATGTGAAAACTCTATCATGAAGTGAATATGTTGACTTGGAAATACTTAATGTTATTAATGAGAAATGTAAAAAATAAAAGATAGCGTATTTAATGATTGCTTATATTTACGCGAGCACTACATATTGAATAAGATACTTTTACGGATTTTATCGCATTTAAATTAATTATTTTAATTGCCGACGTATGTCGACGACGTATGTACGACGTCATGGGGAGAGTGAGGTAATTGACGTCCCGATATGAAAGTTAACCCGGCCCTATCTACGCAGAATGAGCTTACTCGGGAATTAAAATTAAGTCAATTGACTTAACTAAATTTAATTTAACGCGATTAAATACGTAAAAGTAGTTTTATTCAAGGTCGTCGATTATAATAAATTTAAACACAATGAGGAGCCAGAATTAAAGCAGAACATCGAATATGCAAACCAATTTAACAGTTTCCCTGTCCGCGAATTAGACATATATGTAGTTTGGCTCCCGTGAGCCAAGTAATGTGTAAAAAGACTTCCCGATCCCGTGATCGGGAAGTCTTATTACACATTACTTTTATATTTAAAACACGTTTAAATGTGCTTCCAAAATAATATAACGTGTGACAGTGTTTATAAGTCTCAGTTAACGTTTGGGTAATTTTTTTACATATTATATCACTCTGGCGGCCATATAAATTTGTAGCCTTACGCCCCTAGGCACGTGCCTAATTTTCCTTAAGGACAATCCTTCACTGTGCGTACCTACTGAGTATTTTTTTAATTGTTTCATTCCTTTTTCAACAATAATGACAGCCTATTTTAAAGAAGTGGGGTGAGAGGGGCGTCGTTCAGATTATTACATATAGTAAAATATGTCTTAATAATTTTAAAAAAAACATTGATTTTCCAGTAGAATTAAGGTTTTGTGCGGATAAAGTGTGTAAAAATGTAACATACGACTGTAACCTATCAAGGTTATCTAAAAATATTGTTTACATCTGAAGAGAAGCTGCTGAAACTAGCTGTGAGATAAGAAAGCGTAGTAAACGCAAACTAGTGCGGGTTATGTATATGACAGAATGCGAGAAGCTAGGAGGTGTTTTAAGTCAAAGCTAAATGATGTTAAGACAATGACAATCAAATGAAAATGGATATCTTGGTTACTCACCACAAAGAAAAAGATTTTAAGAGTTTTTTGACACAAACTAAGAAGCTGGAAACTGCATCATGCTTACCTGTAAGTGACGATGGTAAAAGTGAGCCCCATCATATCGCAGAAGTTTTTAGGGAACACTTCAAAGTGGAATCTCCATTGGAACCGGTGCAGCGGGTGTTCGATATTAAGCAGAAAAGTGAATTTGCCAGATTTACTGAAAAATAAAGAAAGAATGTCATAAATAATATGACACGTGGTAAATCACCTGGATATGATGACCTCAGTGTTGAGCATCTGCAGTACGCGGGAGTTCATCTGCCTAGGGTATTGTCACTGCTCTTTAATGTGTGTATAGGGCATAAATACTTACCTCAGAAACTTATGAAGACCATAGTGGTACCAGTTCTAAAGAATAAGACCGGGGATGCTGCCGAAAAGAACAATTATAGACCGAATTCGTTAGCTACTGTGATATCGAAAGTATTGGATGGTTTTGCTTGATCGTCAACTAAGTAAACATATACATGTACATGAGGCACAATTTGGTTTTAGACTTGAACTGTCCAATGAAACTGCAATCTTACGACTCAAGCATACCGTCCAGTATTATGCTACGAGAAAAACGCCTGTCTACGCTTGTTTTTTGGACTTGTCGAAGGCATTTGCCCTGGTCTCGTACAATCTTTTATAGGATAAGCTTCGGAGGGAAATGAGCACGCCTAGAGAGATAGTCGATATATTAAGATATTGGTACCACAACCAATTAAATAATGTAAGGTGGGCATGCTCATACTCAAGTGAATATAAGTTAGAGTGTGGTGTGAGATAGGAGGCTTAACGTCACCGAGGCTCTTTAATGTGTATATAAATGGATTTATCGATGAGCTTAGCAGAACTGGCGTCGGATGCTCAATAGATGGTAACTTCGTAAACAGCATCAGTTACGCGGACGACACGGTTCTGCTGAGCCCTTCGATCAGGGCACTCGAGATATGAATACGTGAGAGATACGCAGAAGCCCATGACCTCAGGTATAACTCCAAAGAGAGTTAACTACTTGGTTTCCAGACAGGGAACAAAGAACCCAAGGCTATCCTACCGGTCAGGCTTGGAGGAGTACCTTTAAGTAGTCAACAAATTTAAACACCTGGGCACTGGGTTACAGAGGACCTCTCTGATGACATGGATATTGAACGAGAACGTAGAGCGTTAGCAGTGAGATGCAACATGCTAGCTAGTAGGTTTGCAAGGTGTACAAAAGCTGTTAAGATAACTCTTTTTAAGGCGTACTGCCAAACGTTTTACATCTGCAGCCTGTGGGTCAAGTATACTCGCAGATCTGTAAATGCTCTACGTGTTCGGTACACAATGTCTTTAGGATGCTGATGGGGCTGTCTCGAAATTGCAGCGCATCAGGTATGTTTTTTGGGGCTAACACGGATAGCTTTTGATACAATAGTGCGGAATAGAGTAGCCTGGTGACCCAGTAGGCCGTGCTGTTATAGAGATCCAGAAATCTCGGGACGGATCGCTAGTATATATTAAATCCGTGTAAAAATCTATCAATAGATCACGAATTATTCAAAAAAACTATCTTTAAGTTGAATAAAACTATTATTTACGGATTTTATCGTGTCTAATTACTACTTTAATTTATTTTTATCCCCTACTTCTACCCCCCCCCCGTGACCATGGGTGCTGTAAAGCACCCGTAACGTCGGGATAATAAAAATAAGTTAAAGTAGTAATTAAATGCGATAAAATCCGTAAATAATAGTTTTATTCAATGTGTAGTGTTCGCGTAAATTTAAGAAATCACTATCTATAAGTGTTGTGCTTAAAGATGCATTGTTATGCGTTAGTAGATTCCTAATATAGTTTGTGGGTGCCAATAAAAACATTCTGCTATTCTTCCAAGATATATTTCCAGCATTAAGACACTCCATCATTGTTCTCAGGAATGACAATGCATCTACGTTTTTGTTCTTAATCGATGATAGATATTATGTCTATGGCCACATTTACTATCGGTTAAGGTGTCTAAGGTATTACAGTGTCTACTTACCATTGGGTGTCTAAGAACCACAGTATCCACTTGAGGTGGTGTATTTGAGTGTGTGCCCCTTTGTCGCGCTTACTTACATATAAAATATATATTGTCCTATTGGCTGAATTTTAACAAATTTCAAACGAATTACAAAAGATTAACTGCTCAGGAAATATTTCAGTGGTTCAGTGTACTCGTAAAAAAAGAGGCATTCACTTTTAATATTGATGCATACATAGTCAATCGTGCAATATTTTATGCTTATATAAATGCCACGATGTTGTGATTAGGGAGATAGTTGAGGAAGCAGCGCCAGAAACATGCGACAAAACCAGATTTAAAAACAAACAATTTGTAGGTTTTTCCCGTACTCAGGACTGTCCAGAGTTAAGATGTTAGAGTGAAGTCCCCTGATATTACAGAAATTCACGGATAGCGTGGAAGGGGTCACCTTGGTTTTGTTACTCAACTTGCCTTGAGCAGTTGTTGTCTTGAGCGGAATTTTGGGTGGTTGGAAAATATCGGGTAGGTCTGAGAATCGGCCAAATTTTTTTTATTTAATATTTTTGACAATATTTTTATTTTTATTTTATTACGATTTAGCATTAAAAATACATACAACTTGAAATTTTCACCCTTCTACGATCAACTCCTGTCCTTTAATCGTGATGTTTATATTATTCTGTTGTATCCACAGATCCGCAATAGGGTTGCAAGACGACAATCAAATATAATAATTGTAATACGATAAAATTTAATGTATAGTTTTTAAT